GGCACTTGGCACCGCCCTCTGGATTGAACCATTTTATGACGGGTAGAGCAAAGGTTGGGTGGCGCGATTCACACGGGCGGTGAGGGGGCGGGGCCGAGCCGCCCCCAAAGTGTTCAGTCCTGGTGTCCTAACACTAAACTCTGTTGGGGATAGCTGCGGGAAGTCCCAGAATGGACTCACCCACCTGGGCTGGCGATCCCGTAAGTAGACAAAGCTTTCTAGGACTCGTGATTGCTAGCAAAGAAGCAGGGAGCACATAGTGCCACTGGGAAAGGCCTTCCAGGAGTGGTGACATCTGAAGTGTTTAGAAGAGAGAAGGACATTGCAGCTGATGGGAATCATTCCAATAGTCAAAGAGCGAAAAGGCGAGACATATATGTAGACAGGGTCTTACGATGTAGCCTTAGCTGGCCTGGAACTCGCTATGTAGTCTAGGCTGACCTCAAACTCACCGAGAGCCTTCTGCCTCTGCCTTTCCAGTGATGGGATTAAAGACGAGCACCACCATGCTTGTTTTCTCTGAGCCTACACTTCACCTTATGTTCTGAAGCACAAAAATGTGAAAGGCCAATAGGTTTATTAACTAGGGAACCATGGGATTCGCTATTGCCACAGAATGGTACTGGGTTCCATTTGGAGGGGAGCAAAATTGAACTAGGGTACAAGTAAGAGAGCCCATCTATGTCAGTGCTACCTAGTGAGATCTTGTTTCAGTGCTAACTCTGGGTGCTGCTGACAGGTCTCAGCATTTAAGAGCATACATTGACAGCTTTATCTGTAACATAGAATAAATAAATAAATAAGTATCTGCTTCATAGTACATACCTTTATTATGCCAATTATTAAGTGAATTACTATTTTAAAGTAGCTAGTGCCTGGCACATGGTTAAGGTTATGTATGTTAGTTGGAAGAAGACAACATAAAGCTGAGCGTAGTGCCACACACCTGTTATTCTAGAACTTGAGAAGTAAAGGCACAAGGAACAGTTAGTTGTTCAGGGTCACCCTTAGCAACACAGTCAGCACAGGTCACAGAAGACCATGTCTAAAGCAACAACAAGAACAGCAACAAAACCCGTAAGCAACTAGAAGAAACTAGCCTTATACACAGAAGTGATGGGATGAAGGATCACTGTAGTTAAATGTAACTGAGGGAGTCTGAGAGTATGTGGCAAGGACATTTCCTTTTGCTCTTGAGCGATGGTCAGGTAGGGCCTTGTGCCAAGGGCAGTGTAATGGAAGCAGAAGTGCTGTGTGACATTTCCAGATCTAGCTTCTAAAACAATGTGAAATCTTGGGCTGGAGAGATGCCTCATTGGTAACACTGCTGATCTTCCAGAGGACCCTGGTTTGATTTCCAGCACGTACAAGGTGGCTCACAAGTGTTTGTAACTCCAGTTCCAGTGGAGCCGACTCCTCTGACCTCTGTGGGAACTGCACACACATAGTACACTGACATACATGCAGGTAAAACACCAATACACATAAAAATAAAAAAATAATAATGTGAAATTCTATCCCCCCCCCCCTTTTTTAACCTTTGGCCAGTTACAGAAGTCCTATTGTTGTGTGACAAAATGTTTCTTCAGGAGACGCAAGACACAAGTCTGCTCACACCAGATAGGGAATCCACAGCAGACCAAAGTACAAATACCACAAAAATCCAATTTGGTGGCCCAGTGAGTTTTAGGGGGTAACTTATGGGAGCAAAAATGACTAAAAGACAGCAGCTGCATCACCAAAGCCCACTCCAGCATTGCTGACAACTCACAAAAGCTAGGAACCTGAAGCACAGTGTACAGCCTGCAGATGGTTCAACAGGTTGGAGTTGAGTGCCTTTTCCAACTGATTCAGTTGATCCAAACCTCTTCTAGGCAGCTTGGCTCGTTTCTGCTTCTGCCAGGGAACTAGTCTGCTCCTGAGAGATTTCTTTACAGCTCAGCTTCATTGTGTCTGAGAGGGATTCCCAGCTTTTACTGCTTACTCTGGCAGGGAGGAGCCTAGTGAATCTGGTGGGTTTTAGGGACTTCATGAAGCAGTTGTTTTGAGTTGTTTACCTTCCTCCTTAAGGAGCTTCCTGCAGGATGGAAGGTTTCAATCCTAGGATACAAAACACCTATTGTGATGGCTATTTTTGGTTGTCAACTTGACTACCTGTGGAATTAACTAAAACCCAAATGACTGGGCACACCTATGTGGGATTTATTATTATTATTAATTAAATCAGTTGTAGTGGGAAGACCTACTTCCGATCGGGATCTTTGAGGTAGGAAGATACACCATTAATCTGGACCACTCCTTCTGCTTGCAGCATATATAAACAACATGAAGGTAGGAAGCTTGCTCTCTCTTTGCCTGCCTGCTCTCACCTTCGATGGCAAATCCATTCCTTCACTGGCATTAGAGCCTACTTCTTTGGATTCCAGAGTATATTGAAGACCAACTGAGACAGCCAGCCCTGTGGTGGACTGAACAACTACTGGGTTCTTGGACCTAGATAGCCACTGTTAGACTAGCTGGACCACAGCCTGTAAGCCACTCTAACAAATCTGTTCTCATTTACCATCTTAGTTGCTGTAACAACCCCCACCTCCCTGCCAAGCAATACCCAGAGCTCAGAGGGCCCTTCTATAGCAGGCTTCTGCCCTTACTCCAGGCAGAAACATTTTCTGAGACCATCAGGCTTGCAACTTCCCTCTCTGGTCTTTCAGAAACCTCCTCCAACCTAGTCCTTTAAAAAAAAAAAAAAAGATCCTAAGCCTTTGAGTGACTCCAAGCTGTCGCATCCAAGGGGATGCGAATGACAGCCATATTCCCTTAATGTCACAGCAGAGATCTTGTATCTGGGATCTGGAAGAGAGAGGAACAGATAGACCCTATATAGACCATTGTCCTCTTCCCCCTACAAAAGGGATCTGGAAAGACAGAGAAATGAGAGGCACGAAGATGTTCCTGAAGGGTGTCAAGAGTCAGTTGGCATGATCTAGGGAGTGACATTGAAGCACTGGTGTTCCTGTACCACAATCGAGTCACTGAAAGACAGCTGGAAGGGTAGAAAGCAAGTCCCTTTCCTGCCCTCATTCTCTGCTGTACTTTGAGCAGCCACTGGACTGGTAAAACTCATATTTCAGGCACTGCTCTCTGCCCTCTACCTAAAGGCCTCTTCAGATTCCAGACTCGGGATTCCAGGGCAGAGATCAATGGCCAATGAATGACCTAATTTTTGTAGCTCAGCTGCCAGCATGCCTGGCTCTATGAAGCCTGCAGAAATGGAATGGTGATACATACCTACAATATCAATAGTCAGGAGGTAGAAGCAGGGAGACTGGGCTTCAAACTCACACTTTCACATCGAGAGTTCAAGGCCAGTCTGGGAAACGTAAGACCCTGTGTCACAATAAAGGAAAACAACAATTCCAAAAGAGCTCCCTTCAAACAAAATCAAATTTTCTATAGAAAATACCTCTGCTACACAGAGAAACCTTGTCTTGAAAAACCAAAAAGAAAAAAGAAATAAAGAAAGGAAGGAAGAAAGAGCCGGGTGTTGGTGGTGCACGCCTTTAATCCCAGCACTCAGGAGGCAGAGGCAGGCGGATCTCTGAGTTCGAGGCCAGCCTGGTCTCCAGAGCGACTGCCAGGATAGGCTCCAAAGCTACACAGAGAAACCCTGTCTCGAAAAACCAAAAAAAAAAAAAAAAGAAAGAAAGGAAAAGGAAAGAAAGAAAATAAAATGCCTGTGAGGGCCCTTGAGAGATAGCTCAGTGGTTAAGGGCATTTGTTCTTACAGAGGATCTGGGTTCAAGTCCCAGCACCCACATGGCAGCTCACAACCATATGTAACTTCAATTCTAGGATGCACAAATATAAATGCTAGCAAAACACACAAATAAAGTGAATAAATCATTAAAAGAGAAAATATATGTGATGCCTTCCAGATAGAAAATGAGGCTACCTGACAGTCTAGGGATCCTCACATTTTTATATTTATTTATTTCCACCTTTGTTTGATTTTTTGAGCCAGGGTCTCTGCTGCCTAGCACTCTCTTTATAGACCAGGCTACTCATAGAGATTCACCTGTCTCTGCTTTCCAAACACTGGTGTTTACCACCTTGTCCCACCTTTTTGTTTTTGAGACGACCGTCACTATATTGGCCAGGATGGTCTAGAACTGGTGGGATGAAATGGTCTTCTGATTCAGTTTCTAGAGTAGCTGAGACTATATAGCAAATGCACTACTGTGCCTGTGTGTGTGTGTGTGTGTGTGTGTGCGCGCGCGCGTGCGCGCGCGCGCATATTTCACTTTCTTCTTGTCTACCTTATTTATAAATTGGGTCTTTCTATGTAGAACTGTGCAGCCTGAATTCGAACTTTTAAATCTCCAGATTGCTGGGATTAGAGGTGTACAACACCACACCCCATGCTCCATTACTTAACTTTTTTTCCCCAAGCCTATTTCTGCTAATGAGGATGGCGATATAGTTACAATGAAGTACTCACTCCTCCAGGTAATCCTGAAGGGCCAGGCTTCATTTTTAGTAAGAAGTCCTTGCCTCTCACCCAGTAAGCTTGCTTTTTCAACACAGCCACTCAGCAGGTGACTCAGGTCATTGAGTCCAGGATGTTACTGTTCTTTGCACAGGGCATCTCTACGCTTTACATAGAAACTAAGTGTTTGGCACATGGTTAAGATGTTTAGTAAACCCAATGTCTTCTGGATATGACGGAGTCATTGCATTCTTGAACTCACTGCAGCTGTGCTTACCTGCACAAAACCCCAGATTTGGCCCATCAGTATTTCATACCAGATGGGGGAAGGACTCATGAGGCTCCACCTTCCCTGAGGGTCTGAAACGGGTAAACTAGACTAAAAGGCTTCACTTCTAGAAATAAAGGGACCAGACCCTTACTCAGCCCCTGCTTTAGAAGCCATGACTGGCTATAAAAAAGACACATAGGCCTGTAAGGAAACTCTAGATCCTCTGGCCTCCCAGAGCCTAGAGCCCAGCCCCCCCCCCCCCCAACGAGCCTCCTAGGTACTTGGTTCCTGGGAACTATTTGGCCACAAAAGAAACTCCAGGGGAGACCAAAACCTCCCCTATAGTCTCCAGGATACAGTTCTGAAAACTATTGGTATTTATGTAAAACAGGCCACCTGCAAACAAGACAAAGCCATAGAAACCACAGAATGTTCCCTCTCAGCACTGACCAATGAGAATACCTGGTACACAGGTATTTCATGCCAAAATATGACTTTGAGAAATTTGTTGATTGTTCCCCAAATGTCAACCAATCAGAAACCAACCCGTACCAACTGATGTAATCCTGTAACTTTTGTCTTTAAAACCTAGCAATAGACAGGGGAACTTCACCCCCTCTGGAGGCTGCTGTGTCAGCTTGCTAGAAAGGGTCCCTCCTGTAGAAGGGACAATTTAATGAACCTTGTGCATTTGCATCCGTGGTCTGTCTCCCTGGTCTCTTTGGGGATCCTTGTGACTCAAGCACAATAGGACTATTGGCAGTTAAAGGTTGCTAGCAGGAGGAGTGCCGTCCTTCAGTGGCGTAGTTGATAGTTGCCAATGCTCCAATACCCTCCCCTATGCTCAGGCAAGCAACCTTGACTTATCTTAGTGGGTCACAAAAGACAAAAGCAAAACAAAATAAAAAAAACAGGACATGAAAGTAGGCTTATTGGGAAGAAAGGTTTCAACGGATGACCAAGTCATTATAAACGTGTGTGAAAATTTCCCTTCCCCCTTAGTAAATATTTGCTGAGTTAGTGGTCAGACGAATGGGCACAGCCACCAGTTTTCACAGACGCTCTCCAGAGACTTGGCTCCAATCCGGTGTGGAGGGGGGTCTCATCAAATCCACTTTGGCGTGCTCGCTTTAGCAGCACATATACTAAAATTGGAACTATACAGAGAAGATTAGCATGGCCCCTGCGCAAGGATACACGCAAATTCGTGAAGCATTTCATATTTTTCTGTTCATTCTTCTGTCAGACAATGTCATATTCAACTCTGTTTATATCAAACCACTGTGAAGCAACAAAAAAAACCACTTTGGCGAGGTGTGTGGCTATCCTGAGTCCCGCCCCTAAGGGGCAGGCGTCCATCACGTGTTGGCAACTAGCCAATCATCCGAGGAGGGCGGGGCAGAAAAAAAAAAAAAGAAAGAAAAGGAAGGGTGAATCTAGCCCGGCGGACATTCCCTCTTCCCGCAGGTCAATTTGGGTGGTCTCATGTCGCAAAACGGAGATGATCCTGAGCAGCGCCAGCAGGCGTCAGAGGCGGACGCCATGGCAGCGACCTTCCGGGCGAGCGGTAATTGCAGGGCGGCCTGGACCCGCTGCGGCGCGGAGCCGAGCCTTCCTTTTCCGTAGGAAGTCTGGTCCCAGAGTCAAGGTCGGCACTTCCACCCGAAGACAGGGTGGCGGACCAACGGCCATGTGGCACTGCAAGAGTTTAACCCTTTTAATTCCTCTCCTTCAGCCTTTAGCTTCTAGAACCACTTGGCCGACTGAGCGCCCCTGAGCTTGGGCTTGCTAGGGCATTAGAGCCATTCAGGGAAAAAGAGGGAGACAGGGAACTTGACTGATTGATCTTGACTGGCTGTCCCCAGAACATCAGCATA